ACCCTTGTTCTAAGATTCTTTCTCTTGGGTGAGGGACTCTTTCTCCAATCTGAGACTGTCTTCTTTGTCTTTCTCACAGGAGCACCAGCTCCAAACTCTAGTCCCCAGGGCCCCTCCCCCAGGGGTCAGTCTTTTGCCAGTGTAGGCTTCCTCTCCTCCTCCATCACTTGTGGCCGGGTTACAGCCCATCCAGGTTGCCTGAAACAGCGGGTCTGGGACCCGCTGTTCTCATTCTAGGACTTCTCTCCTTGGATACAAATTTTCCTTTTTGTTTTGAGACAGTTTTCTTTTTCACAGCTAACAGCCCCAAGTAGGGCCTGCAGAAACTGCTCACTGCATGCCAGCTGCTCCCAGGAGCAGCCAGCCCCAAGCCAGCTTCCATGTGTCTCCCCCACAAGGCTCAGTTTTACACAGCATCTCATTCCTTCTGACTCTGATTCTCCTATCCAGCACCTATGTTTCTTGCTTTTAGCTTTGCTTCAAGATTGGCCTTTCTTCTCTTTCTCTACATTTAAGACTGCTAAGAAAAACAAATGGGGAATACCCTGGCCTCTCTGCTAGAGCACAGATGCCACATGGCAGAGTAAGCCCCTCTCCCACTGCTTCTAAACCTACCATTGTTTCTCTCTCTAACAGAAATACCCACAAAAATGTTAACGTTTTCAACCAAAAATTTTCTTGATTTTTATTTAAACATTTCCTTTTCACCCTAACAGGAACACCTAAAGGAACAATGTTCCTGCCTTTCAACCAAAAATTTTCTTGTTTTTTGTTTAAATGTTTCCTTTTCTCTCTAACACTGGTGATATATGTCCAACATGTTTTCAACTTTTTAAGACTTCTTCATGGTTCAAAAGTCATCTAATCTTCTTCCACAGGTTAAATCTATATGCTGATAACCATTTTTTAACTCTTAATTAACAGCTAGTTCCCTTTCACAGAGAAACTGTTGCTGCCTATCTCAGATACTTAATTAACATGATGTTTTTCTCCCTCAGCCATCCAAACCAGACTCAAAGGTACCTTCCAGGACTAAAATTTCCTCAAGCACCTTTGCCTCTCCAGGACCTTAATGCTTGCTAGCCACCCTTTACAGACATCTCCCTGCTGGGCTGCTGCTTCCCTGCTGTGATTATTCTGCAGGTATACCCACAGATCCAACAGAGACAACACCATCTCCTGGAATCTGCCTGGAACACCAAGCTTCCTCCTTCCACTCACCATCTGACTGAAGACTCCAGAGACACGCTGAGACCCAGAGACAACGGCACCTCCTGAAACCTGCCTGGGACACCAAGCTGCCTTCTCCCAGCCACCTGGTCAGACTGAATACTCAGAGACACATGTCAAGATCCTGACTTTCCAGCTACAAATGAACTATTTTGTCAAAGTCAAATAGCTAAAAGTTACATGTTAGTAAGGAAGTCATAATGTCTATCTAGATTAATCAGATATTGCTACCGTCAAGCTGTACAACCTGCATTTAATTGGTTCAATGATCCCTTGCCTTCCCAACCTTCATCCTCAGCTTCCCTTAACCTGTGACTTAATTGTGCTATCCTCTATGGCCTGAGTAGTGTTTTCTTTTGACTTCCTCATCCAAAAGATCCACCACAGATGACATAGGGATGCCACTCCCCCTTAAAAAAAAACACAGGGGTAGCTGTTGGGCCGTGAAAGGAGCCCGGTCCTTGGCTGGGCACAGGCCTGGAACCCTGACCCTGATGGGGAAAGGGCAGGTGTTCAGTCACGCCTCCAGAACCCAAGCTCCTGACACATGTGGCAAAGATCTCCGTTTGATCTGTGCCTTGCAATCACATAGGGCTAAAGGTAGAGGGTGTGACTCCAGGCTTCAGCCTCAAGAGATTCCTATATTAATGAGTTACCTAAAGGCCACAGGGCATGGCTAACTAAATTATTTCCTCCCAGATCCTTCCTTCTCCTACTCCCTATTTAAGCCAACTCACCCCTGGCTTAAACTGGGGGATGCACATCTAGACCATCTATCATACACCATGAACATTAAAGCCTTGGATCCTGGGACTCCACGTGTCTTAGGGGCCCTTGTCTGCATTCCAGCCACAGGGACCTTCAGAGGAGGTGGAACAGGAGGAAGTAGAGAAGGAAAATCAGCAGGAAGAGGAGCAGTAGGAGGTGGAGCAGCAGGGGGAAGAACTGGAAGGGGAGTAGGAGGGGAAAGAGAAGGAGTAGAAGGAGGAGAAGAAGGAGGGACAGCAGAAGAAGGAGGAGTAGCAGGAGGAGCAGGGTGAAGATTAGCAGGAGGAGGAACAGAAAAAAGTAGGGGAGAGGGAGGAGAAGAAGGGGGAGGAACAGAAGGGGAAACAGCACATCAGGAAGAACAGCAGCAAGAGTAGTAGCAGGAGGAGGAGCCTCAACAGGAGGAGCAGCAGGAGGAGGAAGCAGAACAAGAGGAATAGCAACAGGAAGAGGAGGGACAAGAGGTAGAGAAGGACCTGGGCAAGGCCCCACAATAGAGATTGAAAACTCCAGCTGTGTATGGTATCAGCTCCTCGCTGATACCTAAGTCAGCCTTGAAGGCAAAGCTGGGCAATGCACACCAGTCTTCTCCCTCCTTCTCACTGGGGTATGCATATGGCTGAGTCTCTGGTTTCCACAGAGAACTTGCATGGAGTCCATCTCTTCTTTGAGCACCGTTTGACCCTGTGAGAGCAAACTAAAAGTTGTCCAGAGCTATATGGACCCTGGCTCATTCTGTCCTCTCTTTACCGTAACTTCTCATGCCTCTTCATCTGCCCTCACCCCTGAGTATTGTGGGAAGTGGCATCCTGTGCTCACCCTGGAGTGCTTCATGGACAGTCATGTGAACTGACAGTACGGCTCCTCTAAGATCTCCTGAAGGATAGTGTCTGTCCAGAATGTATGGCAAGCTAACACCTGTCCAGTGGGTAGAGCTAAGGCCCCTGATTCTGAATGAGTTCCAAGACACCTTCCTATCTTTACAGTCCTTATGCAATGGAGTCTGCTACATTCAGACCCTCAGTGTCTGAGGGTCTAGGGTCTCAGCATGGGCATAAGGAGAGAAGCAGGCTACTCCTGCTTTGGTGTTCTCCATCAACCTGGCCTAGATATAGGAGAATCAACAACCCCAATGTGTTATGAGTTCTAAGAAGATGGTCAGGTAGGTCAAGGTTGGCACAGAGTGTAATGTATTGGGGAGAATTTACTGACAGAAGTGTAATCTTGGGTAGCAATAAAGCTAGCTTGATTCTTGTGATCTGGATGAGGAAGAGTGTTGTATAGAAAAGTGATGTTATCAGCTTGTCCCATCAATGGTGTGAAAGGGTAGGGATGTTGGCTCATAAGGCCACACCCCTCCCTGAGGAGCTACGGGCATTTCCTGGTTGCTGGGGTAGGGGGAGGCAACTTCCTCAACAGAGTAGTTACTCATAAGTTACTCTTGCTCAAGTAAATGACTCCACACGCATGTTGATACAGGCAGTCCTAAGTAATGTAGTGAGACAGAAGGATATACAGGAAAGGAAAAATGGCCACAGACTTGTTCAGAGGACAAGAGGTTAGGTGGAGGGGTCAGGGCATAAGAGGGAGGAGGATATGTGTATATGTCTTTATGTGTGTGCATATGTGTGTTATGTGTATGCACACACATATATTTGTATAAAAATAAATTTAAGATAAGAGAAAAATGATCTTATAAGAGAAGAAAATCACCTTGTTTACATGAAACTGGTATCAAAGATTCAAATACACCCCTGAAGACAGGGGATCAAAGAGGCAGAGGAAGCCCTGAATGAGTGTAGTCCTGGTGAATGTGTACTGTTGGCCAGGCACCACAAACTGGCAAAGCTTTTCTCTATGTGGGCCAGGCTCAGAATTGGCAAAGCCTTCTTCCACTGACACAAGTTCAGGGGTTGGTGGTAGATGACTGACCAGTGTGTAAATACTAGCAACTACAGCTTCTCCCTTCTGAAGGTTTCCAGCCTGAGACAGCTGCCTTCAGACAGGACTAGCTGGTCCCTCCCTCTTGCTGTTCATGATAAAGGAGCTGAGGTTGTAGGGGAGTTAGTTGAGGACCCTCAATGCTGACACAAGCCATCTGATGCATCTTTTCTGTACATGTGTCTGTGTGTCTATCCTTTCTCCATTCCCTCACCACCACTAGTCAGGGTTTCAGAGCTAAGCCATCTGAATTGTAACAAGGCCAAAGATTCAGGAGGTCATGATGTACCTGTGTGACAAGTGAGATCCTGCCTCAAACTAATTTGGTGATTAACTTAAAATATAATAAAGAGTTCAGGTCATAAGCAGCTGGTGACAGGACTTGCTTATCTACTAGATGACCCAAATTTTTTTTGCCAATGCCAAGGTTAGGTAGTTCACAACTACCTGAAACTCTAGTTCCACGGCACTCCAGTTACAGGGAATGCAATGATCTGTCCTATAGGGGTACTATACACAACTGAATTACAGATACTTATGTATACAGATAAATAAAAACAAGTGTTTAAAAATCTTGAGTAAGATGGATAAAACCAAGACATGGAAGATCATTTGCTATTTCACCAACAATGGTAATGATTGTTTAAGCAAAGCAGTTTCCTGTGGTCCCATATCCATGATGTTTATGGTGAGGAAAGAAAATCCATGCAACTGTGCACATCACATGTGTGCTGAGGCCAGGAATCTTCCTAGTCCTGAGGCTCTATGCTCTCACACTGTACTTCTATTGACTCAACTACACAAAAGGATCTAGCCTTCACAGGGCTTTCTCAGGCTTTGGAGAAGTCCAGTAGAAAAAGGAATCCACAAGAGACGTGGGCAGGTAGCTCAAGGGGAGGTAGAAGAGCTTGGCATCCCACCCAGCTGAGTATCGGGTGCGAGGGTGACGGGCAGTCAGAGCATGCTCCATGCAGTCAGTCACCAAAGATAGGTCCTTGTTGCACATCTGGTCCAATCCGTTTAGCATTTTCAGACCTAAGCAGAATGAGGAATCATTCAGATGGTCATTCAGTTCCCACCAGTCGTGTCTCATACCAGCCTATAGGAAAACTTCTGTCCTCTATGTCAGAAAATCCATGTGTCTGAAATCAAGCCTAGCCTGTCCCAGTTCCTCAAAAGGACCAGAAACAATCTTCAAGGAATAACTGAGCACACTCAGTCACCTGTATCTCATTTCATGGAAAGTGCTAATTTTGTACTGCCTCCCATTCCAGACTTCACTTACAGCCCCATGAGCATGAGGATCAGAACTAACAGAGCAGCATGTTCTGAGGATTCTTTGAGGATAACAAGTATAATATTGGAACTGCAAAAATGAGCATGGGGTTAAAGTGTTCAGGAGTGGACTTGACTTTCATCCTCAGAGCTCACTTACTGGATGCGAAGTATTTCTCGCCATAGATCTCCCTGATTTCTGAGCTGGTCTGGTCCCACAGCATCTGGAAGTTTGATGAGATTCTGGCACTATCAGTCATAGGAGTCTTGAAGTATCCAGGTTCTATAATAGCCAACTTCACCCCAAAATGGGAGAGCTCCCTCCTGCAAGACAGACAGATGTCAAGCAATTCAGAAGTCATTCAGTGAGAACACCTTAATAAGAGTAGAGTAGCATGAGAACAGGAGCCTGTGGTGAGGAAAGGTCACACCATTTGGATCTCAGATGTGCAGGAAATGTCGAAGGATATTGTGATAAGGGTATCTCCTCTGTGCTCTTGTAGCTCACGCTAAGTATTTGTTGTGTGCAGCTCAGTGCCCTAAAACTAGACATTCTGGTCTATGGCACTGTATAACATCTTTCTCCAAGTAGTTCAGATGTAAGGAATCCTAGTCCTTCTCCAAGTAATTCCTACCTCACTAGTAAGTCTGCATCTACCCCACATGTGTCCTAGAAAGCTCTCAGGACATCCCCAAGTTTTTTCCTGGGGGTGTCTCTACAGAGCAACCTCCTGCATCCAACTCCCTATCATTGGCAGCCTACATGTTCCCTGCCCCAAATTGCTGCCCTGATTCTATCCCTTAGAAGGATTGCATTGCCAACAACACAAAGTAAATAGCATTCTGTACACTCCAGTTCCCCACAAGAATACCTGTGCCTACATGGTGACCACCCTCATTTCATAAATGGTCTTTCCATTCTCCAAAGAGAATGTACCTACAGATACAGGTTTGAGCTTCCAGGATCTCATGTTTACTCTGATACAGTCTAATCCTGCTACAGGACCCTCAACAAATCTGATGGCTGAAATAGTCAACAGTGCTGACTGGCCACGGCAATCTCACAGGAAGATCACAGTTCTTCTTTGACTCCTCTTTCATTCACTTAGTTACCACAGTCTTTAGGTCATGATAGAAGCACATAAGTTATGCTAGAATGTGTTTTTTATTGGGAATTCTAAAAGAGGCCTGATATCTATCTGTGGAATGGAAGGAAATATTTACTCCAATTCAAAAACATAATCAGCATACTGCAATCAGGGATCTGGATTCACAACTTCAAAAAACTCACATTTCCTATCCTATCCCAGTATTATTTCCCAGTGCCCTTCCTCCAATGTAACAGGACAAAATGAACTGAACTCATGTCTCAGTCATGGTCTCTTGTAGAGTTATGGAAATGTGCTGCAAAGTGAATGATTCCGTGATGGGAAGGTGAGAGAGCGATGCAGAACACATCTGTCCTCACCATGATGGCTTCTTAAATATTTTGAGTAAATAAAAACCTTCCCAAAGCACTCCTGGGGGTCCCCTTCACATTCCAGTACCTGAGAGAATCTGAGAAGGCCTCTATACCATACTTGGAGATGCAGTAACCACCACCACCACCAAAAGACACTCGACCCATGACACTGGAGACATTGACCACACGGCCTCTTGCCTTCCTCACTAAGGGCAGCATGTTCAGAGTCACCTCGATCATGCCCAACAGGTTCACATCCAGTACAGTTGCAAAGTCCTGTTTGTTCATCCATTCAGTAGGACCTGAGGGAGTGCTGATGCCAGCATTGTTGACCAGGCCCCAGAGTCCTGGGGACAGTGGGAAGAGACAGTCACACAACACAGGTTTAATTAGGGATAAAATGCACATTTAACAAGGTAAGACCACTCTGACACATGTTTACTGGACACTAGGAATCAATGAATAAGAACAGTGTATCCCCACAGCTGGGGAACACCCGCAGAACAGTGCTGAATCACAGCATGGATACCTTCATCTTTTAAGACTTTGTGCCCATTTCTCTACCTGGGAATCTGCAAGGAGTCCCTTCTCCCTTACTAAGTTTAAGAACAGATAGTGAAAACATGGTGCACCTTTGTTAATCTGGCGACTATAAAAGTACGTTTGTGACTTACAAGTTCATGTGATCCTTGCAGAGATTTTATTCTTTTATTTGTTGTGCTGGTTTGAATGGGAATGGTAGCCATTGGCTCAAGGTCATGTGGCATTGCTGGAGTGTGTGTGGTCTTGTTGGATTATGTGATTCACTGGAAGTGGGCTATTCCAGAGTCTTGCTATCTCTTCTGCATGTGGGTCTGGATGTAGAGCTTTCAGTTGATTTTCTAACCCCATGTCTTCCTACAACCCACCATACTTCCTGATATGATGATAATGGACTAAACTTCTGCCTTTAATCCAGTCTTATTTAAGTGCTATCCTCTGCAAGAGTTACCATGGTCATGACATGTCTTCACAGACATAGAACTCTGAAAAAACACCCTTATTTTCAGAGTTTTATGAGGAATTTATACACTGCTGCCTTTCCCTTTCAAATGGCCACAAAATATAGTAATAAGGTAGGACTGTTATTTCTTATTATTCTAATAAGGAAAGAGAAAGAGTGAACAGATCAGAATACAGAGGAGAAAAGAAAAAAAAAAGAAAAATTAAACTGTGAGTGAAATATTCATTGAGAAGCCAAGAATTGAAAACTTGGTGTGGGGAGATTTTTAAAAGCAGTACTTTTTTTTCCCCCCCCTCTGGTGAAGCTGGCCTTGCAATCAATGTTGACCAACATCTATATTGAAGAAAGTCAAAACTGATCAACTCTCCTCAGACGCTAACCAAACATAATTTAATGTGAAGTTTGTGGTAACATGCCATAAGGTACAGTCATCAGTCAGGATGGAACCGCAGTTGAGGAAATGTTTCCAGGAGATCAAGTTATAAGGCATTTTTTCCATTAGTAATCAATGGGCAATGACTTAACCCATTGTGGGTGGTACCACCTCTGGGCTGATGGTCTATGGGTTCAATAATCAAGCAGGTGAGTAAGTCATGGAAAGCAAGCCAGTGAGCAGCACTTGTCCATGTCCTCTGCATCAGTTCCTGCCTGCAGGTTCCTGCCCTGTTTGAGACTCTGTCCTGGTTTCCTCTGGTGGTCAACAGCAATTTGGAATTAAAAACGGAATAACCCCTTTCCTCACTAGCTTGCTGTTTGGTCATGGGGATTCATTGCAGGAATACTAACACTAAGTAAAACAATTTGGTTCCAGTACCGCGGGGGTATTGTGGTGACAGATCTAACCATGTTTATAATAGGACTGTAGGAAGCTTTGGAACTAGGGGCTGAAAAGACACTAATTACTGTGACCTCAGTGGGATGATCTTTAGTTTCTTGGAAGACTCTCAGGGATATTGGCTATTTTGCATCAAAATGCTGCCATTCCGGTCATCTGGGGCTGAAGAGTCAGCGCAGATTCAGAAGAGACCAGCAACATTGAAGTGAAATCTTTGAGTTAATGGGACAATTGATGCTGGTCAGCTGGAGCAAACCAATTAATGGTGATTCAAAAGAGACCAGCGTAACTGAGGTTGAGAAATCTGAAAAGTCTTTTCTGAGAACACAGAGAAGCTGAGTTCTAGAAGGGGCCAAGTTTGTAACTCATTTTGTCAGGAACCTTTGGTCCTGTGTAAGAGTCAACCAGGTGGTACTGGTTTGAAGGGGTCTTGGAGATCAGCTGATGCTTGGTACTGTGAGAAGTCAGGAGATGTCATTGGTGAAGGTGCAACCTGAGGGTCACTTGAAGGTCAGGACTGAAGGAGTCATGCAAAGAAGTTGAGGCATGAGCCCAGGAAGAGAGCCTATGACAGGCTATGTTGAATGTACAGTCCATGAGTTGGAGAGATGGGTCAGTGGTTATGAGCACTGACTGTTCTTTTAGAGGTTCAGAGTTCAGTTTCCAGCAGCCACATGGTGTCTCCCACCAGGAATAAATAAATCTTAAAAAAAGAACATGCAGCCCAGATACAGGAAGGTTTCCTAGTAGTATTGCAGATGCCTGTAATGTGGGATGATCACTAAGAACAACAGCAGCAGTGGAGTGGAGCCAGCTGGAGCTTAGAAGACAAGCTGTGTGCCTGAGAGCTGGAGAAGTGACCTAAGACCTTTGGAGGAGCCCAGAAGAACATGAGTATATCTCAGACATTGGACATTATATTGTTATATAGCTGGTTTTTTATTTTGCTTTAGTTTGATTATGAGTAAAGTGTGGTTATTTTCTCTTGAAGTAAGAAAGGTTTTACTTTAATTAAAAGTTTTAAGAAGCCCATAGCTGAAAGAGTTTAACCCTTTAAAAGTGATTTTGGATCCTTAGAGATATTGGATATTTTAAAGTGCCTGAAAAATCAATGTGTTTGACTTTTAAAATATAAACTTTTTAATTGTTTATGTGTTTAATGTGACATTTTGGGAAACGAATAAGAATAAATGGTTTACAGGTCAATAGTGATGTATGTGTGTGTTACATTAACAAGGGATCAGTTGTACGGGCTGTTTAGTGTCAAAATGACAGACGCCAGAGTTATCAGAATCAAAGGAGCCTCAGTAGAGAAAATGCCTCCATGTGATCCAGCTGCAAGGCATTTTCTCAATTAGTGATCAATGGGAAAGGGCACAGGTCACTATGAGTGATGGCATCCCTGAGCCTCTAGCCCTGGGTTCTATTAGAAAGAAGACTGAGCCAGCCACGGGGAGTAAGCCAGGAAGCAGCAACTTCCATGGCCACTGCATCAGCTCTTGCCTCCTGGTTCCTGCCCTGTTCCTGTCCTGAGTTTCTTTGGTGATGAACAGTGATGTGGAAGTCTAAGCTTTCTTCCTAAAGATGCCTTTTCATCAAGGTGTTTGTCACAACAATAAAAACTGTAAGGAAGTCACCTAAGGGACAGGATAAGTGAGGTGACAATCATTGCTGATAACCAACCTTAGAGATTTTCCACTGTCAACCTGAACACATTGTGCTCTCTTGGCCAATCACCCACAGGTGGCCCTCACTCATCCCTCTGGCCTTTAAGTCATGGATCATCAAGCAATCACTCTGAAAGGCCTACAGCTAAACACCCTATCTCCATCATCAATTTATGTGCAGGGTGAATGGGAGACTAGTTGACTGAGAGTAAGATCTGCATTTGTTGTTTTTAAAATGTTGGCACAGGCTGGGCAGTGGTGGCACACGCCTTTAATCCCAGCACTTGGGAGGCAAAGGCAGGCAGATTTCTGAGTTTGAGGCCAGCCTGGTCTACAGAGTGAGGTCCAGGATAGCCAGGGCTACACAGAGAAACCCTGTCTCAAAACAAACAAACAAAAATGTTGGCACAGTAAACCGTCTGCCCCCTTGGATCAAAAGCATGTCTTGTCTTTCTACAGATGCATAATCTGTAATCAAGATTGTTTTTTGCTGTTTTGACATGCAGTACTACTTATGTAGAAGCTTCCTAAAAATATGTATATGAAGCAATTACTGGTGTCACCATATGATGATAGACATGACACCCCAAGTAGACACCGAATGCCAAAGGAAAACTTTCTGTGTCAGGAATAGGTCACATTATGTCCCTAAAAGGGTCCTATGGAATACTCTTTCCCAACATTAATCGTAAGCTATGGCCAAGGCTACTAAATTTTCTCCCAAAGTGATGGTAAGGCCATGTAGCTTAAGACCATACTATCAGATGTCATCAAACTGAGAGAATGCAAGATGATGCCCAAATAAAAACTTCAATGCTATGTATTAGCAAGCCAGGTTCAAGAAGTTACTCTTTACACTTTAGAGGAGAAAGGCAGTCATTATGATTAGTCAGCCACAAGCCCTGTGATCTACCATAGTGACCTGCCCTGAAGACTGCAATGTCATGGGTGGGGGGTAACTAAACACTTTTCATTAGATTGAAGGACTGCTTTCTGAGATTGAATCCATAATGAACCTACTACAGTGGCCAAGAACCTGAGACTAGGTAGGTCATGGAACTATGGGAAAATTGAAGATTATCATTCTGCAAAGGGAATATACAGTAACAAGGGTCTCAATTCAGGTTACTAACAGCACTCAAACTCCAGTGCCTTGATCCATCTCCATCAGGAAAACTGTGTCTGACCATAGATAAGAATTAACACAGAGACAACCATCTGCACAATGTTGCAGAGAGTAAGAAACTCTGTTACGTTCAGTCCTAAGAGGCTCAGAAACCTATGAAGAAAAGGCAGAAACATTTTAAGAAGCAGAGGTGATGGGTGAATCCAAGGAGACTGTTTTCCAGATTTTTTCAGGACTGCTCCTCATATGAATTCACAGAGACTGAGGCAGCACATGTAAGACCTGTACAGGGAAAAGTGTGCAGTGACCCAGCAGTGAAGAGGGAAAGTGGACACATGGTCTCTCCTCTAGCAAGCAGCTATTTGTCACATAACACCTCGGTCTCTTGTAGGATTCAGTGTAGAGGTAAGAGGACAGAATGTTGTGCAGGAGAGGTGCAAAGTCTGCAATGACTCCAACTCCACCCTGACCCCCACCAGAAATCTTTTCAGGATTACAGTGGCCTTCCCTTCACATAGACCAGAAACCAACAACACAGACAGGAATCTCAATGGTACCTCTGTTCCCAACACGCTCCTTCACCCACTGAGTGGCTGCCACAATACTCTCTGTGTTGGTGACATCAAGGATCATTGTCTCCAACCTGTCTGATGTCTTACTCCTCAGCTTCTCAGCTCCTTCCTCCTTCCGACAGGCAGCCAATACCCTCATGCCTCTCCTGTCCAGCTGTCTGGCCAGCAGGTTCCCAAAGCCTGAGCCACAGCCCGTGATGAAGACATACTTGTCTTGGAGATGGCTCACCACCTGCCTCTCCCTGAACAAGCGAAAAAGTGTCCACAGGCCCACAAGTGCCACCAGGTAGAGCCACATGACTTATACACGTCAAGCAGTGAGAGAGATATTCTGAGTCAAAATGCAGTTGCTCACTCAAAGAGGTGTAGGCATGGAGGAGTCCACTCTTCTGGCCTGCAGTCCACACTGTAATTTCTAACAATCATTAATACCTGACTTCTTAGTTATTCGGACTGCTTTGCTCTGTAGATATGTAATGATCTTTGGTTTTCCCTATCTAACTGCCAAAGAAAACACAACTGACTGTTCATTAACACAGGTCAATTCCCTTCTGATCCTTGCTTGCTGGACCCATGTCAGGACACATGTATGTTTCATTAAAGAGGTTTCATGGTGCAGTCCCACACTCATCTTTTGTCTCTGCATCTTGCACTCTGGAGCCACAAATCAGAGTGTTGTGAACATAGTGAAAAACTGTGACCTGCACTTGGAGTCAGAACAACTTACAGGAGAGGACAGGGATTGCTGGTGCCCTCCTCATATAGCAGTTCCTGGGAAGGTAGAAGGTCTGAACCCAAACATGGCTCTCTCAAAAGAACAAAAGGTGATGGGTCTGGGATCCCAGACACATGATGACTTGCAGAGCTGCTGTGGGAAGCAAATGACTTTACCATCTCAAGTGGCCCTTCTCCTGGCTTCTAGGATTAAAGCAGAGATAAGCAAAGATGTCTTGAGTTGTGACCTTCATGACTGTCCTTGACTCACCTTAGCCAGAAATTCTTACTTAATTTCTCAGCATACCTTGCTCAGAACCTCAGGAGCAGTATATGGAGCTTTGCATCTGGGTCCTAACTCTGAGGAATGCCTGACTGACTCTCTGATTTTAGATTGTCATAAGCCTGTTGCCTTCCTTCAGGAATGATGTCTCAGTTCTCTTACCTGACACTTCCACAACATTTTGCCCAAACCTATAAGGACTCAGACTGGCCTTGTGCTTGCAATAACCATGTTTCTATCAGGAAGTGCCCCAATGCAGGATAGACTAAAGCTCTGCCTCAAGGCCTGGGCCTTGGTTATCAGAAGGGAGTGATCTGTGAATCTGGAGTTGGGCCACTCTCCCTCCAATGGGTAGCTGCCACTGTGTCTTCTCTGCATTTGCCTTGCCCTTCCTTCTCCCTTGTGCCTGATCCTGAATGTATTACTACTAGTATTCCTTGTTCTCCTGGCTCCACTGCTGTCTGTCCTTCTGCTATTGCCGAAGCTAATAGGACACTCTTCATGTGGCTGTTAGCACCCAACAGGTACTCAGAATCGTAACTCTGAAAATTTCATCGTACAAAATGTAGTATTCCTCTTTTTTGACCATAGTAAATTCAGATATTGCTGCTCTTGGATCTTGAATCCCTTCCACGTTGATTTCTCTAGAGCCATCCTTCTATGGTCATTTCCTAATCCTCTCTCCCACAGTCTTGTCCTTATCAATCCTGACAGTAATGGGCAGTCATGTTGGATCAAGGTCTTCTGGAACACAGCATGATCGAGACTCAGTGCTGGAATTTCTTAGTAAATCAGAGAGGATAGCAAAATAGATGTGGCTGTGATTCTGGAGCCACAGGGCTGAAGAGATAACCTCAGAAACACCTCCCTGAGTCATGGAGTTTCCTTCAGTCCATCCATCCCTCCTGATATTTTTCCACATGCCAAATGAGTGTGCAAAGCTCCTCTTTTTCCCTATACTGAGTAGAGTGTGCTGGTCTCATTCCAAGCCTGACCCTGTGAGTGTCTAACACTGTAGCTCTTCAGAACTCTGGGCTGCTGTGATCTGCTCATGTACATGGGAGCTGAGCCATTCAGTAGGATTAGGTGTCCAGCTCAGTCCAGGGGGAAGCACTTTCTCCCAAAAGGCAGTGTACCCCAACCCAACTTTTCTTCCTCTTGCAAAAATGGGAGAAGTGGAGCCTACAGTCAGTGCTGCAAAAGTGGAAACAGGCCCTGCCTGTTTCTCGACTTGACCACATTGTGTCCCTACTCAGTCTTCACTGGGGAACCAGAAATTGGATTGTATTCTAATGGGTGAGGATCTCAGTTTGAAGGCATGGGATTGGGTTGTGTACAATGCTGTCCTCATGCTCACATTAAAGAGACAGCCTCTTGTGGCAACTGCAGTTCCTCTGAGTCCCTCTATGCATGCTTGTTTCTGTCAACAATGAAACTTGGGTGAGGAGGAAAGGAGACTCCTCCAGGCATGTGGCATGCAGTCTTGAACCACTTTACAGTGCACTTCAGGCTACTTACATGTTTTTCAGTCTCATCATGATGTTTCTAAGCCTCTACCGATGCTTAGGGCTGTAGACCTGTCCTGGGCGCTTCCCTTTCTTCTGTGGAGCCAGTAAGATGCTCCAGAGTGTACTTAGATTGGTCTAACCTCCTGACCAGCTTCTTCACAGGCAGAGATAATGTGCAGAGATGCTGTTGGATTACTACAGTGTGATTTATGTAATGATGAAGACAGTAGGGTTAGAGATTACAAAGTTATAGTGGTGAGATATCCCAATAAACAAATAAACACACATTTTAGAGAAATGAGTCTAGCATTAAGAACACTTTCTGTTCTGATTGAAAACACAAAGTCAATACTTGACACTGACATTGTATGGCTGAATACTTGTGATAACCAGTGTCTCTCATCTTCCTTCTCACCTCTTAGGGTCCTCCCACACATGTAACACACAGGTACACACACTCACTCAAAGGTCCTAAAACAAATCTTTCAAAATAACATATGTAAAATGAATGACCAAGTACATGAAAGGGTTGAGAATTTTTTATTTTTATTAATCCAGAAATTAATGTTTATTTATAAGTTTTTCCTTGGCCCCTCAGATCCCACATTTCTACTGAGAGAACAGGAGTCAGGCATCTATGGAAGTCCCTCCCCAGTGCAAGTCTGTACTGAGCCCAGGATTCTCTGTCTCTTCCACACATGCTTTCCCTCCTCAGCCTACTCTTGATATTCACCAAACTAGCTGCAGACAGACCAAGGTCTCGGAGATCATGGCAAGTTCAAGACCCATGTTCTTTTGCAAAAAATGTATTCCAAAAATATAAAGTCCAAAGTGAAGAGGGACACTGTCCTAGTCATGGTTTCTATTCCTGCAGAAACATCATGACAAGAAGCAAGTTGGGCAGGAAAGTGTTGTTCAGCCTACACTTTCCACATTGTTGCTGATCACCAAAAGAAGTCAGGACTGAAACTCAAGCCAGTCAGAAAGCACGAGCCGATGCAGAAACCAAGGAGGAATGTTAGTTAGTGGCTTGCTTCCCCTGGTTTTCTCAGTTTGCTTCCTTATAGAACCAAATACTACCAGCCCAGGGATGGCACCACCCACAATGGGCCCTCTCATGCTTCATCACTAATTGAGAAAATGCCTTATAGCTGGATCTCATGGATGCATTTCCTCAACTGAACCTCCTTTTTCTGTGATAACTCCAGCCTGTGTCAAGTTGACACACAAATCCAGCCTGTACAGACACTCTCTAGATGCTGCTGGAGGAGTGTGGCAGTGTGATTGAGGGAGGGAACATGAGAAGTGGCCTGGGACAAGGACAGACAGAAAATCAGAAGTGGTTTGTTGTGATGGTTGGATACTAAGTCTTATAGGAAGCAATGGCCATTTAGTGTGTCTGCAGGGAAGGCATGGTCACTTAGTGAGTGTATCTGCAGGAAGGGATGGTGAGGCCTGAGATTTCAGGTAGCTGTATGCATTCTCAAGCTTGCTCAGTATCCACAGGAATCTTCACATGTAAACTGGCCTCATTTCCATCCTGTGAGAAGGTAAAGACTGACCACACCAAAACATACCCTAAGGAGGTAGGAGGGAGACAGAACATGGTAAACTCAGTGTAGTTCTTTGCCCCTGCAAATGCCCCCAAAAGAAAAGTTCTTGGGGACAGTTCAAGGACGGGATCTCAGAGCCTTGAATGGTGGATTACTATGCACACATACCCACACACCCATATGTGTATATACATATGTATTTGTCAGTGTTTGTATATGTATATATGCATGTATATACACTTACACACACATAGGAATGTATTTAAATATATGTCTGTGTGTGTATGTATGTATGTATGTCTATATACACACATACACTCACACACACAAATGTATATATATATATATATATATATATATATATATATTTGTCAGTGTGTGTGTATGTATATATGTATACACACATACACTTTACATGTATAAAATTCATGATTTCAAAAACATAGTTTGTATTCCTTGTATTCCTCAGGATTGAGATTAATATTTCAGGACTATCCTGGGGCAGACATGGATAGGTAGAGAGCCCGCATGATCCTGGAAGGCTGCTTTTACCTCTCTGTTCCCCACCCACATTTTACCTATTATAGCAACCCAACAGAGTGGATAAAGAGAATATCTTAAAATGTTATTTTATATTATACATTATTTTCTTATTTTTAATCAATTATTCCTTTCATTTACATTTCAAATGATATCCCACTTCCTGGTTACCTCCTCTACCAATCCCCCTTACAATGATATCCCACTTCCTGGTTACCCCTCCACCAACCCCCCATCCCACAACTGCCCTCCCCCCTCCCTTTTGCCCATATAAGAGTGCTCCCCCCACCCACACTTTCCTACTCCACCGCTACAGGAAGAACAGGGACAAAAAATGGAACAAAAGTGAAGGAAGGGCCAACCGGGAACAGCCCCACCTGGGGATACATCATGTCTGCAGACACCAAACCCAACACTGTTGCCGTGTTCAAGAAGCACTCATGGACAGGAACCAAGTGTGGCAGTTCCTGGGGAGGTCTGGCCAGCAGCTGACCAATGCAGATGTGGATGTTTGGAGTCTTAAAATGTTTTAATTTAGACTAATAAAATAAAATTTAAAAAACTCAGAGGTAGGTCTTAGACAAAATAGTGGTCCAAACTCAAGTGTACCCAGGCATTTATAAGAAGCGACCATGGCCACAAGGTATCTGAGATGCTTAAACACCCATGTTCTGTGTATGCAAGCAGAGCCAGAAGGATGGACTACGGTAATGATGACAAAGATGACAATGGGAACTCTGGACAGAACTCTGGACAGAGATCTGTCAGGGGCATTCCTGCTTATACACTGAAGGCCTAAAATCAGCCATAGGCTTAAAATCAGCAATAGGC